TTCAACATCTTTTCTCACAATTTCTCCCCAGATTTTTTTATAATACGAATTAGCAAATTCTTTTGATTCTTTCTGGGATAACCCTTCTATTTCTTACTCTAGAAATTCTAAACTAGAGCTTGCTGTTTAGTCATGCATGCATTTGCTCACTTAAGTGCCTACCTTGTGCCAGGCATTGTTCTAGGCACTGGAGGAAGAACAGTGTTCGAGACAAAGTGTCTGCCCTCAAGGAACTCACATTCTATTAGGGGAGAACAGAAGAAATAAACAAATCTGACATATAATATGATGCGTGGTCCTGGGTATGATAAATACCTCCCTCTTTAACCAAATGCCGTCAAAACAATCATCTCATCATGAGGTCTTTCTATTCCTCATCCCTCTTAAGTTGTTGTACGTCAGCAAGCACCCAGCACGCCAAGCTTTGCCCTTGTGAGCAGGTGGCTGTTTAATGACTATGGGTACCATGGGCAGCTGGCGTTCGAAAATCATGGCCCCGTCTGTGCCCGTTAACCTATCCCAGGGCCTATTGCTTACAACCTTCTTTCTGGTGCCAATTTCTATATGAAATAAAGGTTTTTGTTTGCAAGCACATTGAACGGTTACAGAAACCTACTCTGGTTAACCAAAGTCAAAAAGGAATTTGGTGAAAGGAAACTGGATGACTCATGAACTAGAAGAGCTCAGGGCGGAGTCAAGATGGCATACCAGGAGGACGTGGAATTCGCGTCTCTGCACAGCTAGGGTACCTACCAGGCACCCGTGGGGGACCACGGACACCTAAGGGGTCAGAAGGAACCCCCAGCGACCTGGTACGATGTGAGCGCGGGGGGGAGGGAGGGAGGAGGAGAAGTGGAGGCAGGAGAGGACTGGCACCCCTTAGGGGCGGCGCGGGGGAGGGGAAGGAATCTCAGGCCCGAAGCGGGAAACTGGGAGGGCAGAGGATCAAACGGGAGCTTGGCCAGGTTTCCCCTGCCTACTTGGGCCCCGGGGAGCCTGCTGAGATCCCGGGCCTGATCCTCTGCCCACCAAGGCCCCCTCCAGCCGCGCGGGTCCTGAGGGAGTGGGAGGGAGGGAAGGGGGAGCAAAAGTAAAGGCTGGACCTCCAGGATCGGCACCCCTGAGGGGTGGCTGGAGGAGGGGAGGAGTTCCTACACCCACTTGGACCCACTCATGACTAGGGGTCCAGCGGGGACGGGGAGACCCTGGGGGTGGACCGTGCCAGGGTGGGGGGCGGAGGAACGGAAGGGGAGGTGGCCAGCGCTTTCCCTGTGCACTTTGGGAAATCCTCTGCCCTTGGAGCCTCCCTCTTGCCGCGCAGAGCCCAAGCCCCGCCCCTACACCCCGCCCCCAGGGCCCACCTCTACACTGGGAGACCCCCTCCAACGCGCTGAGTCTAAACTCCACCCACGCCCCCTCACCCAGGGCCTTAGCTCCCAACTCCGGAACTCCACACTCCGGAGGCCCTCCTTTGGAGGTGCGGCCTCTCCCCTTCTGCACAGGCGCTAAGTAGGGCCCGGGCCCTGCCCCACGCCTGAACATCACCCCTCGACCGGCCTAGGTCCCACCTCACCCTAAACCCCACCCCTGCCTAAGTTCCTGCCCCGCCTAAACTCCACCCACCATGGTCAAGGCTTTTTTTTTTTTTTTTCTGTTGTGGTTTTATTTTACCTTATTGCAGTTGCTTCAATTATATTTTTTATCTTTCTAATTTTATTTTGTTTTTCATTCTTTGTTATTGTATCGCTCTTTTTTTTTTTTTTTTTTTTTGCCATGCCACACGGCTTGTGGGATCTTGGGTCCCAGGCCAGAGGTCAGGCTCAAGCTCCTCTGGTGGGAGCTCCAAGTCCAAACTGCTGGACTAACAGAGAACCTCAGACCCCAGGGAGTATTAATCAGAATGAGGCCTCCCAGACGTCCTCACCTCAGCACCAAGACCCAGCTCTATCCAACTGCCTGCAAACTCTAGTGCTGGATGCCTCAGGCCAAACAACCAGTAAGACAGGAATACAGCCCCACCCATCAAAAAAAAAAAAATGTTACAGACAAAGGAGCAAGGTAAAAACTTACAAGATCAAATAAATGAACATGAAATAGGCAACCTACCTGAAAAAGAATTCCAAGTAATGATAGTAAAGATGATCCAAAATCTCAGAAATAGAATGGAGAAAATAAAAGAAACATTCAACAAGGATCTAGAAGAACTAAAGAGCAAACAAACAGGGATGAACAACACAATAACTGAAATTAAAAATACTCTAGATGGGCTTCCCTGGTGGCACAGTGGTTGAGAGTCCGCCTGCCGATGCAGGGGACGCAGGTTCGTGCCCCGGTCCGGGAGGATCCCACATGCTGCGGAGCGGCTGGGCCCGTGAGCCATGGCCGCTGAGCCTGCGCGTCTGGAGCCTGTGCTCCACAACGGGAGAGGCCACAACAGTGAGAGGCCCGCGTACCGCAAAAAAAAAAAAAAAAAACCCTAGAAGGAATCAATAGCAGAATAACTGAGGCAGAAAAACAGATAAGTGAGCTGGAAGGGAAAGTGGTAGAAATAACTTTCAGGGAGCAGAAAAAAGAATGAAAAGAATTGAGGACAGTCTCAGAGACCTCTGGGACAACATTAAATGCACAACATTCAAATTATAGGGGTCCCAGAAGAAGAGAAAAGAAAGTGTCTGAGAAAATATTTGAAGAGATTATAGTCGAAAACTTCCCTAACATGGGAAAGGAAATAGTTAATCAAGTCCAGGAAGTGCAGAGAGTCCCATACAGGATAAACCCTAAGAGAAACACGCCAAGACACGTATTAATCAAACTATCAAAAAATTAAATACAAAGAAAAAATATTAAAAGCAGCAAGGGAAAAACAACAAATAACATACAAGGGAATCCCCAGAAGGTTAACAGCTGCTCTTTCAGCAGAAACTCTGCAAGCCAGAAGGGACTGGCAGGACATATTTAAAGTGATGAAAGGGAAAAACCTACAACCAAGATTACTGTACCCAGCAAGGATCTCATTCAGATTCGATGGAGAAATCAAAAGCTTTACAAAGCTACGAGAATTCAGCACCACCAAACCAGCTTTACAACAAATGCTAAAGGAACTTCTCTAAGTGGGAAACACAAGAGAAGAAAAAGACCCATAAAAAGAAACCCAAATCGATCAAGAAAATGGTAATAGGAATATACATATCAATAACCACCTTGAATGTAAATGGATTAAATGCTCCAACCAAGAGACACAGACTGGCTGAATGGATACAAAAATAAGACCCTTATATATGCTGTCTACAGGAGACCCACTTCAGACCTAGGGACACATACAGACTGAAAGTGAAGGGATGGAAAAAGATATTCCATGCAAATGGAAATCACAAGAAAGCTGGAGTAGCAATACTCATATCAGATAAAATAGACTTTAAAATAAAGAATGTTACAAGAGATAAGGAAGGACACTACATAATGATCAACGGATCAATCCAAGAAGAAGATATAACAATTATAAATATATATGCACCCAACATAGGAGCACCTCAATACATAAGACAAATGCTAACAGCCATAAAAGGAGAAATCGACAGTAACACAATAATAGAGAGAGACTTTAACACCCCACTTACACCAATAGACAGATTATCCTGCTTTGGGTAGTATAGTCATTTTCACAATGTTGATTCTTTCAATCCAAGAATACGGTATACCTCTCCATCTGTTTGTATCATCCTTAATTTCTTTCATCAGTGTCTTATAGTTTTCTGCATACAGGTCTTCTGTCTCCTTAGGTAGGTTTATTCCTAGATATTTTATTCTTTCTGTTGCAATGGTAAATGGGAGTGTTTCCTTAATTTCTCTTTCAGATTTTTCATCATTAGTGTATAGGAATGCCAGAGATTTCTGTGCATTAATTTTGTATCCTGCAACTTTACCAATCATTGATTAGCTCTAGTAGTTTTCTGGTAGCATCTTTAGGATTCTCTGTGTATAGTATCATGTCATCTGCAAACAGTGACAGCTTTACTTCGTCTTTTCTGATTTGGATTCTTTTTATTTCTTTTTCTTCTCTGATTGCTGTGGCTAAAACTTCCAAAACAATGTTGAGTAATAGTGGTGAGAGTGGGCAACCTTGTCTTGTTCCTGATCTTAGTGGAAATGGTTTCAGTTTTTCACCATTGAGAACGATATTGGCTGTAGGTTTGTCATATCTGGCCTTTATTATGTTGAGGTAAGTTCCCTCTATGCATGCTTTCTGGAGGGTTTTTATCATAAATTGGTATTGCATTTTGTGGGACCTCGACATTTCTGATCACGACAGAGTCGGGTCCTCTCCTCCATCCCACGAACCTCCAGCCAAGCTTTGAAGCCCGGCCTCAGTGTTCTGACCCGACGATGGGGACAGCAGCGCTCTCTGGGGGCCAAGTTGGACCAGGAGGCTACTGTCTCCCCGACCCAGGCCCTAAGATGACATCAAAAGGATGGAAGTTTCCAGTTCATGCCGGAATGTGGGTTTTCCAGCTGAGTCAGATGGAGCCTGTTTCTATGGCAGCCACGCTCCACTACTCGAGGGTTTGGGGAGACAGAATTCTTAACTGGGAGTATTTTCGCTACCTGTCAAACAAGCAGGAGCCTGCCCAGGAAAGAACAATAAAGAAAAAACCCTAAGCCCAGCTGGCTGAGCGCCCAGGCTTTGGATTCTAGGTTCTTGGACAAATGGCCCCCTGCTATGGAGTCAAGTTGCCATTACCACTCTCTGTCTGGGTAACACAGGGGCTGGTTGAGGGGCAGGAAGGGGAGTCGGGGCCATGCTGAAGGAGCTAGCGTCATGGAAACAGGACAGACTTGCCCTTGGTGCTCCCTGGCCAAGGGAGCTGAGAACTTAAGTTTCTCAGCCTCTCTAGGCTGCATCAATAAAATGAGAATGAGAAAAAGACACCAAGAATGAAGAGCGCCTAGCACAGCCAAGACATATAGCTCCTCGGTGGGACCAAGCACGGTGATTTGGGGAAAGGAGGAGGGGAGGGGAAGGGCGGAGAGAAGAAAGCCCACAGATCGACCCCACCTTCCCCAAACTGCCTGGAAGCAGAGCCCACAGGCCCCAGGCTGGCCCCTCCCCTGGAGACTTGGCCAAAGTGTCAGACCAGGAAGTATCATTCCGTCACTGGGCATTCAGGGGTTAATGAGGGGGAGTGGACAGGACCCTGGTATTTAACTAATGCGGAGAGGCCTTGAGATCAGAGGCACCCCTGCTGACTTCCTTCTCCTGCAGCCCAGCTTCTCTACTCCCTGCACCCTCCCCTCCCAGCAGAATGAAGCTTCCCCCTCTTCTGACCTTACTTTGCCTCATGGGTAAGTAACCTTCCTGCCTTTACCCCTCCCCTGCCCCAGCTAGGAATCCCCAACTCCCTGGAAGCCCCTGAGCTGGGCCCTGAGGAGGGTGTGATTGGACATCCTGAGGAGGCCAGTTCTTCCGGAGCCATCACTAGTCAGTGGAGAGGGGGGAGAGGGGAAGACAGCAGCCCGGATGGCCCGGTGGGGCGGGGGAGAGGGCCTGGCAGGGATCCCAGACAGCACACGAGCTCCTGCCACCCCCGCTCCATCCCTCACTTAAGTTTCCATTTTTGGCTCTAACCTGCCCGGGTCAGCAGCCCCCCATTGCTGCATCATCAGGACCTAGAGGAATTTGGGGAAGTCCAGGTGGTTTGGAAGCTTATCCAGTGACATCTGATGGGACTTGACAGGGACAGAGTTCCTGCGGGGATGGGGCTGACACCTGGGGAGGCGATCAGAAAGGGTAGGGACCCGGGAGGATGAGTGGGCGGTATTCTGGGAGATGGTGGAAGGAGAGCGGGGTGGGGGGTGGGGGGTCACGTGTGCTGACACGAGCGGGTGAGGACTAGGGGATCAAGGTGCGATGATGTCATGGGGGTATTATTACTGCTTAGCATTGCTATTATTGGGAATGAGGTGCTTAGGGAGGTGAGGTTACCTAGACAATCAGAGAGATGTCTGGACTCAGATTTGGGGGCACATCAGGGGCAGCTGGCTGCAGAGGGTGGGGCCCTGAGGGATCTGACCTCCTCCACCCTCCCTCCCAGCAGTGGCCCTGGCTGTCGGGAACCTGGTCCAGTTCGGGGTGATGACTGAGAGAATGAAAGGGCAGCCTGCACTGCAGTACATTGACTATGGCTGCTACTGTGGTTTCGGCGGCTCCCACGGGCCAGTGGACCAGACAGACTGGTGAGCAGGTGGCCCAGCAGGTAGAGCACCTCGCTGGAGGATGGAGAGGCCGGGGGAGCATCCTGGGAGGAGGGAGGGGCTGGGGGCACCTAGAAAGTTGGGGCCGACCTCCACTTTGAGCCCCTTTGGGCACTGAGCCCCCCAGGCAGCCCCTGGTTCTGCCCAGCCTGGCTCACAGGCCCCTCCAAGCCAACCATGACCCTTATAGGTGCTGCCACGCCCATGACTGCTGCTATGGGAGTCTGGAGAAGCTGGGCTGTGAACCCATATTGGAAATGTATCTTTTCTCTGCCAGCAGGCACAGCATCTTCTGTGGTAAGCAAACAGCCTTAGACTCCCCCAGACACCAGGTTGGGGGAGAGCTTCAGCTAGGAACCCTCTCGTGATGGAGACCCTTGAGCCTGGTCACCTGGGCTGGGGCGGGCGTGGGATCTTCCATCATCACGGAAGTGGGGAGAGACCTGTCCATCTACCCAGATGCTCCTGTGGCACCCAGCCTAGAGAGCACGTGACCCATCAGCTCCTGCCCTGACCCCAGGCACTTTCCCTAGCCAGAGCCCTCCCAGCTCCGGCCTCTGGGGAGAGGAGCCAGAGGCGGTAGAGCTGAGCCCCAGGGCAGCTGTACCCACACAGCCCTCCCCAGGGCCTGGGTGGCAGCTAGAGGCAAGGTTCCCAGGACAGAGCCTTGAGGGCAGAGCCCCAGACAGAGAGAGCTGGAGCTTGGATTTGGGACAGCAGACCCTGCTCCCAAAGGCTGAGCGCACCGGTGCTCATCTTTGCCAGGCCCAGTGCCCACTTGGACCAAGTAGCTTTCCTCTGGTCCCCGGCCTGGGGAAGCAGCCTGCCCCGAGTCAGAGTGCGGAGGGCTCCACGCAGCCCAGCCCCGTGGAGGGAGCTCAGATCAGAGAACCAAACCTTCTTCCTGCCACAAAGCCAGGAGCAGCCTGGAAGGAGGGCAGGCCCAGCGTGGGGCACAGCAGGCGGGTCTAGGAGGGTCAAAGAAGACTCCGCTCAGATCTCTAAGGTCTGTCCTGGGGGAGGGGCAGAACAAGGACCAGAACCACTGGAGGCAGATTTGGCTCAGAGATGCCTGTTCCCAGCAAGGCAGCTTTGACAGGTAGTAAGCTCCCCATCCCTGGGGGTTCATGCAAGGCTAGGAAGCCACCTGTCAGGGACAGCACTGAGAGGATGAGTGAGGGGAGGTGTTAGGTGAAGAGGGACGCCGGGTCGGGGAGTCACCTACCCATTGTATGTCTTTGGGCAAGTGACGTAACCCCTCAAAAGCCTCTACTTCCTCATCTACAAAAGGGAGACAATCACTCAGTTCCCTGGCTTAGTCCAGCTTCTGGTAAGAACCCCCCAAAGGAGCTGACGTGGCTGTTAAGCCCCTTCCAACTCTGACTGCTGCTGAAAGAGCAGGTGAGAGCAGAACCCGGATGGGGAATGAGGCTGACCTTTGCGAAGCACAGTGAAGAACCTGGATATTTCTGAGCCGGGGGATGTCTTCGTGGGGACAAAAAGGAGCCAGAGCCACTCAGGGCAGACAGAGGCAGTGGAGGGAAGAGGAGGCTTTGGGGCCCCTGGTGCCTGCAGAGCTGACGTCAGCTCTGCTCCCCAGGCAGGGTGTGGCCACGTGTGGAAGGGGAGCCCTAAAGTTAATGCTAGGAAGATGGGCTTCGTCCGCTCTGAGGGAGATAGGCACGGCCGAGCAGGCCCCAGTTTCAGTCCCTCTGGGGCACGCCGAGGCCATCTGGGGTTGAGCTGCTGTAAGCGTCCCAGCTTTCCTCTCTGGCTGATGGCTGCCTCACTGTCAGTAACGCGTTACATGGGAGAAGGAGTTGCCTGGAAATGCACCCTCCCTGGGCCGAGGCGGACGACAGTTAGCGAACCAGATGGTCTCCCCATGGGAGAAAGGGCTAAGGGCAGTGGAGTGGGCTTGGGAAAGGACAGGAGAACAAACTTCCAGGCTTCCCAGCATCCTGGGCCCCAGCAGGCCCTCCGGGACTCTGCCCTTTCTCTCTCCCATCCCTGGAACATCCCCCATGAGAATGGGCTGAGAATGGGGCTGAGAACAGGGACCCCAGAGCAGTCCCCTGCATGTCTGAGAGTGGCAGGACCGAGGCGCCCAGGCCCTGACTCACCTCGTCCCATCCAGCCGGCAGAACCACCTGCCAACAACAGACCTGCGAGTGTGACAAGAGGGCTGCTCTCTGCTTTCGTGACAACCTGGGCACCTACGACCGCAAATATGCCCGTTACCCCAACAAGCTGTGCACCGGACCTACCCCACCCTGCTAAGGCTGTGCTCCGCTTCTTCCCTGCGGCCCCCTGCCCTCCAGCTGCTGGAGCCCCAGACCTCCGGAACGTTGGCACCAAAGCCCCTCCCTCTGGAAAATTCCTTTCCTGCAAACCCATCCCTCCCTGAGAGCTCCCAGATGAGGAAGAGCCATGCCCGGGGCCCTTTAGCACCCAGAAGATTCTATAACCCACCCCCTGGGATCTCAGTTCCCTCTTCCGAATATGTGAATGATATTTTCCCATAATTCTAATACTGATCCTCAGATTCTATCATTGTAGGGCTTAATTAGTCTACAGTTTCATGCATTCATTCGTTTTTTGAGCACCCACCATGTGCCAACAATGTGCTAAGTACTGGGACACAGCGTGGGTCTGACACGGATGGCCCCTGTGCACAGTTCTGACATTCTGTCCTTTTAATTTCCCATTACAGTGAGTTTTTGTGATTCTCTTTTTCTAACATTCCACCATCTTATCCAAGATAATAATGGCAATCTCTAGAAGGAATGTTTCTGGCCATATGGCATAATGTGAGAAGCACGCAAAATACCAACCTAAAAATATTGTCCCCACCATGTCATCAGGCTTCAAATCCCTCCCATTAGAAGACTGGCTCAAAGTGAAAAGAAGCTCTCAAATCACCTTTTTCGAAGCCCTCCCTTGACAGATGGGCATCCGGGGCTCAGAGAGGGAAAGTTCTACCTGAAGGGGTGTCCTCACACCCATGCCAGTGTGCCTTCATTTCTTCATGAGTGGGTATCAGTCACTGACACTCTACCCCTCTGGTGGCCATCTTGGACAGCCTAGGGTGCCCAGGGAAGGTCAGCCGTGAGGATGCCCAGGCCAGGTCGGGCTCCTGATACAGGGAGGGGAAGAGGAAAGGTTTCAACATCCAACACCCTAGGGCCAACTCTGGAGCCAATTTAAAGCACCAAAGGATTCCCATCAAATGGAATGCAGCCTATCTGGGAAGCAATGAACTTCAGCAGATTCTACTCCTACATATAGATATATCTCCTCTATCTATAATATGCTGATAAAATCTTCCAGGATTGGGATGAGCCTATTCAATGAGATAAAGCATGTAAAAAAGCATCGCACAGGCAACGCTCTCAGCGGCCAGGTAATAAACATCCACTCCCTTTGTCCATTTCATGGCACATGTGCAACTTTCAGGACTTTGAGGGCAGGAAGGAGCCTGAAGCCATCAAATCGATGATCATCATACATTTTAAAAGGTGAAGAAGTTCTGTGCTAGCAAAACAAACACAAACAAACAAAACACGAGAGGGGCAGATGTGTGTGCTTTGTGGCTGTGACTTGACTCAAATCCTTGGCGAATAATCACCAGACCAGGTCGTAAAGCACAGTGTGTGTGGGTGGGGAAGAGAGCACAGTGTTTGTTGGGAAGAGTGGTCCTGAGGCGCCCTCTGTTGTCCATTTTGTTCAGGCTAATAGGTGGAAACAAATTTGGCTTAAGCCTGAATTTCCCTTCATCATGGGGGCAAAGTATGTTTCTGGTCTAGTGAAACCGGTCGCTTCGCACTTTCAGTAATCATATGCTGAGAAATAATCAGTAAGTCCTTACAGACATCTTAGAATGATGGTACGACTGCATACACGAGAAACACAGGAAGAAGGAACCGACCTGCGGGAGATGGAGAGAGGTGGTGCTCTGGGCGTTATGGATTCAAGGCAGCGATGGAAGGAGTACCTTGTCATGTTACAGTTGCTTAACCATCTGACAGGGTGAAAACTGGAACTTAAGAACAAGCCTCGGTGCAGTCTGTTTTTCGAAGAATCAATAAATATTTGGTGAATGCAAGAATGATTCCGTCTAAATCCTGTTTGTGTCTACAGTACATACGCTTGATTTCCAGTGCAGACTTGGTGGAAAAGGCTGAAAAAAGGAAAGGAGAACCCTGAACTTGATGTCGGAGCTTCCAGGTAGAGCCCTCTGCTCTGCCAGTTAGCAGTGGTGCATCTGTTCTAGACCTCGCTGCTCAGGGAGCTTATTAGAAATGCAGAATCTTGGACCTGACCCCAGACCGCCGAGTTAACAAGACCCCCAGGTGACTCGTGTGTGTACACTGAAATCCAAAAAGCACTGATATATGGCCACAGACAGCCTCAGTGTCTGCACTTGTAAAATAGAACAGTGACATTTCCCTGGTAGGTTGATTGTAGCAAGGTTTTAATAAATTAGCATGTGTGAATGTACACAAAATAATGCCTAGCACATTATAAGCATCCCATAAATGAATGAATGATAGTCATAATAACAAAAAATACCTAACATTTATTAAGCATTTGGCATTCACCAGGCACTGTTCTAAATGCTTTATGTTTATTAATTTATCAAATGAATGAATGAGTGAATGAATTAATGGCTGAATGAGGCATGGGGACTAAATCAAGGCTGGGGAGGGGACTTTGTTACCTGAATGTTTCATAGCTTGCGTCTCCAATTTTGATGATAGGATTTGGATGGTTTTTGCTTTTGTTCCCACTTGGCCCCTAACAAAAGCTATGAACCAAGTGTTCAATTAAATAACTTGCTGAGTAAGCGATTAGAAATCAAATCACATTGGAATTCCAGAGTTAAGTCCAATTATTATTTCATGGACATTCGTCCACTTCTTTAGGGTTCTTCGCAGCGTCACTGCTGGAGAACTGAATACTGTATTAAATTCCATTCTTTCCCTCAGTACGCTTTCATACAAACCATGCTCCTGGCCCCTTGCTGAAACCTGGAGACAGAGCTAAATCTGATGTGGCCAACCTATAGACAGACAACACCAATTACTCTACACTGGTAAGTGTCATAATAGAGCTAAGATCAGGCTCTCAGGACCTAAGGTTCTTCAGCCCTCCGTTCTCCATCCAGCCTCCATCCTGTCCACAATGCCAGCTTCATTTTCCCAGAGGTTGGTTTCCATCATATCACTCTTCTGCCCCTGAACCATCAGTGGCTCCCCATTGTCCACCAAGCCCTGGCATTCAAGCTTGGTGTCATCTGCTTTTCCCGCCATATATATATCTCTGTGCTCCTCGCCACTGCCAGAACATGCCCACCTGTCTTCACACCTCTGTGCGACAGCTTCCTTCAACCCGGGAGCCTCCCTCTCACAGGCTCCCTATCACCACATTCCCATGCATGTGCTTTGAGGCACATCTCAAATGCCACCTTTCCCACGTGCTTTTCCACCTGGAGAAGATTTCACCCTCCTCTGAACAGCCAAGCAATGTGTTTATCCTTTTCTTAGGGATACTTACCCCAGCTATTTGGGCTCTTGTTTTGGGTTCCTATATGGGGAAGGCAGACTGCCCTGGGTTCAATTCTGTGATCTTGGACCCATTATTTATTTCCTCATGTGTAAAATTGGGATGGGACCATCAGCCTCACTGGGTGGTTTTAAGGTTTAAATGAGATAACTTATTCAAAGTGCCTGGAGCATCACAGATGCTCCATCTGTGCTAGGTCACTTTGCACTTTTGTCTCCCCTGTGGAATCCATCACATGGTGGACGCTAAATAAATATCTGTTTAATTGAATCCACAGACACATGATAATTGTGATTATTTTACAGAAGCGGCATCATACACATGATAAATACTATACTAATTTATTTGAATAGCCCCTTGGCCCACTACTCTGAGTGCCATTTATCTTAAAACATTTATCTTAAATGGACAAGTGTTTGGAAATCGTTAACCTTCAGTGCCCTGATCTGTTGTCCCACAGAGGCAATGAGGTAAAATTGGCTGGAGAGACGGTACATAGCACTCTTCCTGGAGGGCTGTTACCTGTGATGTGTTCCAAGGTCAAAATGCACATACAGGCTGACTCGTGACACTTAAGAAGAGGTCAGGAGGAACCAGGTATTTCTGATCTTTGGAATTCATTCAGTATGCACAGCATTAGTCTTCCAGTAGCAAAAGGCACGCGACAAGTGTTTGAAGAAAGGAGTTCCCAGTCCTTCTCCAAACGAATTGTATACCCTTAATAAACTGTCCCAAACACGTGGGCCATCCTACTCTCCCACTGGAGGGGTTTGCTTATGCTGGTCCTTCGGGCCCAAATATCTTAGCTTCCTATTTCCACCCCCTATCTGCCCTTTCATGCCTCGTCTAAATGTCACTTCCTCCACGGAGCCTTCCTTGATTTCCCTTCTGAACTCACAGCCCTCCTATCAGTACCTCCTTTTATGGCCTGTGTTCTCTTGGGTCATAGTTAACATATCCGCTTTCACTGCTGGGCTGAAAGGTTTTCGAGGACAAGGTCCATGTCTGATTCAATGCCCAGAAATAAAGACTCCAACACAGCACAGGTTCAGTAAATGATGGATGGATTCTTGGATGTCTGGATTGGTGAATAAATTGAACAAAAACTGAGCATCTTGAGATATCTAAATCCCTCTATCATAGGGAAATTCAGACAAGCTTCTCCAAGGTGGAGAATTTTTCCTTCTGCCAAGCCAGAATCCATGAATCAGCAAGATTGTTCTTGACCCTATTCAACCCAGAAAGTTCTAAATCGCTGCATCACTATGGTCTGAGGGCCCACCCTGTCCAGCAGTCCAGTCAAAATCGTATTGGAGCAGAGCATTTCATGACAAATTTTGGTTGTATCTCAAGGCCAACATGCACTTTCTGTGCATCTGGCAAACAGGTAACTTTAAACCTGGGGGTTTCAACTCTGTTTTCTCCTAGACAACCATAAGCAGTTAACAAGGGGGGACACGGGAGCTGCCACTTTCCCTCTTATGGTATCTCAATCTTTGGCACCATAACTTGTCACTCACCCAGAGTAAGCAAGGCTATAGCCTGGAGGAAAATGTAAATAATAAACTGTGTTCTCTAATTATCCCCTATGTGGCCTGAGGACACTTCCGCCCTTACAGACTCATCCAATCTCACGGGTCACCGAGACCCAGCCAGGAAGCCCCACGGCCCCCGGCCCCAGCTGAACCACTGCGGAATGGAATTAAGGAGGCCACGGAAGTCTTCCAACTGGGGGAGGGGACACTTACATCGGGACAGCACTCTGGTCCTAGCAGATCTTTCAGAAAGATTCTCAGTTGGGTTAACAGAGTCCAGAGTCTGGGCCTCGTGGGCTCAGGAACTGGATAGCATTTGTGCACCCAGAAGTCTCTTGGTCACGGAATGAGGCAAAAATCACACAGAGAGGACAGTGCCCAAGGGGGGGTCGGCCCTGCCAGTAGCTGGAGAATTCTTCCACCCAGGGTGGTACCGGACACTGTTCAGTGCCAAGATCCTGCAGAAACAATTCAAAGGCTGCTTGATGAGCACAAACATAGACCAAGAGCGAGCAGGAGCCTCGAGGCCAAAATCATGAGGCCGCGGCGAGGCTGGTGAGATGGCAGCAATCTTGACCTGTGACTGGCCCTGGAGCCCGGTGCGAGCGGCGCCCTGCTGCATGGGCCAAAGGGTCCCCTCCCTCTGGTTTTCTGTGGCCGCCCTTCCCCCTCCCGAGGACCTCTTCCAGGTGAGTCCGTGCAGTCACCGCTGCCCACGTGCGCCTGGGGGAAGATGCTCCCTCCTGGAATGGGATCAAACCAAGCCCCCGAGCTCTAGAGAAACCCCAAGGTGGAAGCCAAAAGACAGCTGCTCTGTATTTAGACAACTACGAACTATCAGAGACGTTCTTAGATACCAGGCAGAAATCTGAGGGATGGCCCTGCCGGTGTGTGCGGCGGCCATACTCCCCTGGACGGAAGCTACAATCAGCTACTTAAGCTCAGTGAGACCCCAGACGAGCGCACACTGGAAGAACGTGCACATCTTCCGTGCCAAGGTCTCTAAGGAGGACATTTCCCAGCATGCTCTCTGTCTCATGCACACGGCGGCCAGACAGTGACAAAGACAACTTGAAACTTTCTCTTTAAACTAGAATTTACTGGTATACAAAACTCCATTTCATAGATAAAGTGGCACATCTTTGCAGCTTCTATTGCACCGAGTATTGAAGATTAAAAACACAAAAGAAGAAACATTTGGTTTTGAAAACACTGCAAGTAGCCAAGTACAGTACTTTGGTAAATAAAAAGTAAAATGGTTCAGAGTAACACAATCTGAGGAAAGAAACAACCTGGAGGAAATGAACTATGGACATCAGACAATGGTCACATTCCCCCCATCCAGCTCCACAGATAAGGCAAGACTTGCTAAGTCTATGGATCATGACCCCACAGAGGTCTTAAATATCTTCGGACTGCAGTGAGGACAAGTATAGTGCAATTAGAAAAAAAGAGAAGGTGGCTGAGCCTGTGAAGGCCCCTGTGTTCTCCACAGACCCACCTGCCCTCCTTCATAAAGGGGATTAACACCCACCAGCGCTTCTACATCAGCAAGAGGAACACGGAGGTCTGATGTCCGACCCCTGGCTCTTTTCTTCTTCTCACGGAGCTCGGTGCTGGTGGCGGACGCTGGAAGGGGAGCCAGGGAGGCCGAGGGCCCTTCTCCCCAAGGAAAATAAACCATGAGAGGAGCCCACACCCGCATTCCTCAAGTTCTGGTTGAGGGACCTGCCAGGGGATCAAACCACAGGCGAGGTCTGTGACTGTGCTCAAACAACTACCACAGATGGCTGGCAACAGTGAGGGGCTGGATGTCGAGATGCAGAGGATGAGGGGCAGACCACCGAGGTTTCGCCCAGCGGTCATTACCTTCCAGGGCTACAGCACAGCGAGCAGGGGTAGTTCCGGGACCAGGGGCACGCCCTGCTTAAACCAGAGTCACCACGCAGAAGTCCGCGCTCTTACAGAAACTGTTCTCTACCGGTACCAGCCCCTTCTCAAGTAACTTTGC